CATTTACGATGCAATGGTTTAAAATGTAGCTTCAATAACGTAGTGCAATGTTCAAACTTTAAACACATTAAATACAATGTTGGCACTTTTCCGCACCAGCTATTTGTACATGTCCGCTATATAACATTATGGCGAAATTGTATTAAATTTAAAACAGGATCAAATTAAATATTATATATATATATATATATATATATATATATATATATATATATATATATATACATATAAAACTGGCCAATATAAGCTTTTTGGACCATTGAATATTTTTTAACATTAATACTAAACGAAATTCAAATAAGAGATTTTTAGAGCGTTTACATAATAAGCCTAGCACATATTATGTTCGAATCTTTACCACCTAGATCTACATCACCACTTTACGAGGTGGACTTATAAGTAAACATTAAAATTAAGCAAAAACTCTATGAAACTAGTACATTAAACGACGTAGTACGTGTAGGGGTAACATTTTATAACGTTCTGAGTAAAAGAGTATAACCTAATTGATGTTATCTATAAAATTGAGCTTACATCATGATAGTACTCCACAATAAACGATTTACATTCCATTTTTCTTAACACACTCTAGCCTAGTTTACTTTACGGTTACATGAGCGCGAAGCGACTCACCTAGCAACTCAGTGTAGCGTGTGTGACGAGAGGCAATTTCCTCGCATTAATTATGTGGCTGATGAAAATCACCAAGCCGGTGACCCGCCTAATTCATTTACCCTCGACTGTCACTGTCGAGTTCAGGCAATTTCAAATTAAAAAGGATTTTTAATTAAGGGCACTCCGTTCCTAACAAGACGCTTCACATTTTTTGAATATATACGAAACGAAATTTAAAAAGAGTTAAGCGATATTTGCATTTCAGTAGTTTACAACTTAACAATTAAATTTTTATTTAAAACAAAGATCACGACTGCAAGTGATCTTACTAAGATATATTTTACGTTATGCAAATATATTTTGAAATGTTCTCATTAATATTTAACACCTTTCATGTGAAACTATACACGTTACATTCGCTTATTGTTATTTATTATGTAATTAGGCGTCAGCTTGGTAAATCAGGACTTAGGGGTTTTACGTACTAAACATAAAAGCCCTCAGTCCTCATTTCGAATTCCTAAAATTGTACAATGCAAAATGTAATGCATAATTCAACCCACACTAGTCTTCAGTCTTTAGCACTCCGTCCATTCTAAATTAAGTAATATATTAGGTAAGGTTAAAATAATAATGATCTCAAAATGAATTTTTTTTTATAGGATAAGGGTGACAAACGAGCACACAGTCCACCTGATGGTAAGTGGTTGCTGCGGCCCATAGACATCTACATCTATCCTCTGTTACAAATCAAAATGTAGATGCGTTGTCACCCGTGAGGACTAAGATGGAATGCCTTATTTCCAGTAAAAAGGGCCTACAATTTGCTAATAAATATAATAATAAAATAAAATGTTGTGTTTTATCTACTTTGAGTATTTCCCGCCCTCCTTCAATATCACTATCCCCGTCACCACTAATCCCAACACCACTACACTAGAAAAGACACCACCGTCGATGATACGACACGTGTTTCGCCTATATACGTGCATCCTCAGGTGAAGTAGACTGCGGTGACTGACCGCTAAGTAATTGCCGATAAGTTATTTAATTATCATAAAAGTACAGGAGTTTGAACGACTATTTTAAATCTATGCAAATAAATAAAATTTAAGTGTCTGTTTGTAATGTCAAAATAACAGATTTTTACTTAAAGCATATATGTGGTACTTATAACAAAAGCCAGCTAATCTCCAAAATGTCTGAACCGATTTTGGCAGGACTTTTCACTGGCAGATATCTGATGTTATAAGTAGTAACTTAGGCTACTTTTATTTTAAACAGGAATTAGAGTTCCGCGAAAAATAATTAAAACTCATGAAATTGTGAACAAATTCCGATTCAAATAAAGAAGTATAATAATAAATTACTAAAAATAATTCTATGCGAACGAAGTCGCCCACACAGCTAGTACGGATATGCATATATCACACCCTCAGATCAAGAAAAACGTTACGCTAACGTAATATAATATGTGAATATTTATCATTTATTTTGTTTCCTTATTCAAAATACAAGGTTTAAAGCGCCATGAAAAAAATCTCACGTATATGCGTATATATTACCTCATCTATACACGCGTAATTATTTGCTGATGTTAATAGAACGATACTAAATACGTGGTTTAAAACTTCAATGCGGGTCTGTAGTACGTATTATAGACGACCTCCCAACAGAACACTTCCGCACGCAGCAACGGTCGTTTAGAAAGTTATTTACGCTCATGGTGGTGCTTAATTGTACGGTAAGCCGAGCCGAGGTACAGCGAAAATTTATATCATGCTATAGATTATGGAAACGTTATTTAGAACAGCTGCTATCTTTTCACCTTTTCTTTGGAATGTAGCTGATGCATATTGTTCTTAATTCTCGTAAAAGATAAAATCTATAAAAAAAAAAACAAGAATCCTGCGTTCAGAGAACGTGACAGGACAACCTGCCAGTACTTTTCTTACAAGAAATGATTTTGTACCGAAATATGTCACACCTTCACGCCATAAACATGATAATTAATCGTTGTGCTTAAAATGATCAAGGCCATTAGAAAATTATGCAAAATTTCTCCTGTGTAACAACAGGAGAGATCACATTTTATACCAGTAGAGATTAATGCGTCGTGTGAAATGATCATAGATTAACGGCAGTATATTATATTATATTATTAAGATATTTTTTGCCATGTTATTTAGATCTTATTAAACAATTTATCACAGAAAAACAAACACACACACACACACACACACACACACACACACACACACACACACACATATATATATATATATATATATATATATATATATATATATATATATATATATATATATATATGTATATATATTTTATTATTACTCTCATTCTACATATTTTACGAGCTTTGACTCTCCTTTTAGTAAGGTAAATCCTGTTCCATAAATTTGAATAACTCTACCGCCCATTCTTTGAATATAATTTAATTTAAGGAATGCTTGAGCCGACTTAAATAAAGTGGCTTTTAGTGCGGTGTGACACTGGCGTAGTTAAATTAATAAGCACATTAGAGCGTGCCGGGAGCTGAAGTGCGCCAGTTTCGTCCGCCATTGTTTGCCAACTGCAAGTATTTATATTGTGATAACGAATTGTTGCGTTTGACATAATTAGGTAGGATTGCGCGGGAAAACCATTGCTCACTTGACATAGCATGGTGCTTATTAATTAAAAAGAATTAAGAGTTTAATTAAGAATATGATAAATATGATAAATTTAAATTTAGTTTTATTAAATGTTGTATAGTTTTCAGATAATTAAATTGAACAAACGAATAGACTACCATAGGCTTCTTAACAAAGATAACACAAAAATTAGCGTAGCTCCTGACATTTTTTCTTGGACCGGTATATCAGATTTTTATTTTAAAATATTTTGCATATAATTAATATTAATTACTCGTATACATAATTGTTTATACCTTATAAAATTGTGTTAATATTTGTGAGATTTTATTAAGTATCCATGTGTCCATCCATATTATTTACGTTCATTGAGTTATATGTACTACGTACTAGAGAAGCCTTTCTAAACAAAAAAATGTGCACTACTCTGTCTTCACGCATGCGCGGGAGATAGTAAAGTCGCGCATACGCAGTTGATTTCTTATGTAATATTACGATATTATTACCTATTTATTCACTTGAACAACAAATAATTTAACTTACTTCACTACTGAATTGTTATTTACGTCCAGGTTTAAACTTTATTTTAAATCTTGTATTATTAGCGCCGCTCCACACTGCATGAATATTGAAACCACAGACTAACTAGTAGATTGAAACCACACTAAATGACACACTGTACGGATTGCAGTACAGTTCAGTTGAACATAGTGTATGTTCGGAATGCGCAATCTAGTACGTAGTACATATATATCGATGTTTACGTTATATTATATTTTATTTATTAATATATTTTTATAAAATATTGTATTTCTAATTTAAGAATATAACTGTAATACTAATATAAAAGCTTTTACAAAAATTTACTTCGCAAATATCCGCGTTATAAAATAAAATGATGTGTCTTACCTAGTATGAAGAAGCACCTCCCGCCCTCCCTCAATTGCGTGCACTAACCCCGTCACCACTAATCCCAGCACCGCTACTCCCAACACCACTACACTAGGCAAGACACACCACTGACGATAATACGACACGTGTTTCGCCTCTACACGAGGCATCCTCAGGTGATATAGACTCTACGGTGGCTAACCGCTAAGTGACGGGGTTAGTGCACGCAATTGAGGGAGGGCGGGAGGTGCTTCTTCATACTAGGTAAGACACATCATTTTATTTTATAACGCGGATATTTGCGAAGTAAATTTTTGTAAAAGCTTTTATATAATGGATTTCCGCAAAGTAACGCCTGATTCTATTAATTGTAATACTAATATAAATACATATTAATTAATTAGTTTTTTTTATTATTATTATAGTTTTTAATATTATAAAATTAAATATAAATTATAGATTTAAATTAAAATTAAATTAAAGATGATAAACGAGCACCTGTTAAGTAGACGCTGTGGCCCATAGGCACCCACATCTATTCTCAATTGAGAATCTACGTATAGACGCGTTTTCGTTTCATCATACGAAACACAGCCACTTTATGTTGCTATATACACTCGTATCGTGTGCGGGCGTGGTCCTTCCCCAGTCGAGTCGATTTATTTGTACTGAAACTATAATATACTGCAGCAAGGCTCTTCCTAGTAAAAGAATTTTGACCTGCCACAGTTTTTCAAATCATCTAGAGTTGAATATGCCATAAGGGATTAATTTCGCCCTTTATAACCTAATTTATATTTTATATATATATGTCTGTAATTTAAGATGTTTGTAATTACTTACCATTTGGACACGTGAAGAGGTTGCCCTGGAAACAAAAAAAAATATTAACTTTAATTTATTCATAAAGTAAATAAGAGTTATGATAAAAAGCAGTAAAATTATTATTTAGAAGGAGCAAATTTATTTTGTAGTCCAAAGATTTGTGTATGGACGGTAAAACTTAATCGTTAGCTCAAATCCGCTTCTAAACAATTTTATACCGCTTGTTTATGGGCGTAGTCGGAGTAGAAAAGTATAGTAAAATGTTAAAGAAGTTTTAAAATTTTTATTTTGAAAGTTGTGTTTGACAATTTTCTAGTTGAAAAGAATGCAGGTTAGTATTTCAAAATAATATCTGTAGAGTTCAGCTTATTAGCTGGTTTACAGTCAGGAGGGTTCACGAGGTTTACGAGACCCTCGGGACGTAATGGGATGATGGATATTCATACTCCACTGTTATACAGCAAACAGATTTTATTAAATTAGCGGGCACATAAAACTTTATACTTAAAAGTTTAAATTAGGTACTCATCTTAAATACCACCATATTTACATCGGAAAACATGAATTTAGATACTATAGGTTTAATATTACAATAACAAATAAAAAACAAATGCGGTATTATTGTGAAAATCAGACATTAAATCTTCAAATATATTATGACCAACTAAAAAAAAATCTATTATATAACTAAATCCAATACATGATTGTGATAGTATGAAACATTTTCAAATAATTTAAAAAATGTTACAATTTAGTTTATTATCATTTTAAATATCAATAAATCCATTATATTAAAGATATCTATCTTTATCCACAAAGTAACGCCTGATTCTTTTAATTATTTTCAAAGTATTGCCTAACTGGGAAAAGTTAGAACAAGAACAGCCATCATCCGTGACCGAATTATTGGTTAAGATCAGTGTTGCCACCTGAAAAAAATCAAAATCGCTAGATCACTTCCACAGTCATCTAGGCTTAGCAATAGTAGCTGGTAACTACTTCAGTAAAAAAACAATATAAAGAATATGAAAAACCTTTGATGCATCTTTTTACTTAAATCCTCAAACTATAAGTATGTAAATACAAAACAATCGGTATTAAAATAATTAATTTTTGAGCGAGACAGGGAGGTGCTGTTCAAACTGGCTAAAACACACGATTTTATTTCTCACGAGAATCATAGATAGTTAATTTCCACATCTTTAATATAATGATTAACTGCAAAGTAACGCTTCATCATCATCAAGCTTCTTCATCAAGTTTGACAGGCGGGTTGGCAACTGCAGTTTCCTATTTTCAAGTTCTTATTAGGAAGACGTCACCATCTCCTGGTTTGTTTAAATATTGGTTGAAGATGCAAAAAATTTCCTTAACGATAGAAACAATTTTTCAAAGAACGTCAAAAGTCACCCTATATATAGTGAAAAAAACAGCTAATCTTTAGTCGCTAGTCAATAGATAGAAATAGTTTAGGAATGTGTTTTGTCACATTGCTTGGGAGTAGGGGGGCTTATGTTTAGCAGTGGACTTGTGAAAGACTATAATGAGGATGATGATGGCGTATGCTTATATTGTTATGTTAAATAATATGACATTTATTTAATCTGAGACGTGTATTAAGCTCATCTCGAACTCTAGTACCGTTGTCAGCCCTTCGCAAGGTAAATGATTTAGTGACATTTGTCTAGAATATATCTTTTCTTTACAAGACAGCCGTCAATCCCGGCTATTTGCCGCTAGATGAGGGTTGACATTAAGTCGGGATAGAGGTCTTATGAGCTAGGAAATTCTTAAAGAACAAGTTTTCATGAATGAAAAAAAAACCCCGAATAAGTAATAAATGGACTGATGTCACATGTTTCTAAGCAGACACTGATTTGATGTTGATCTAAAATGTTACACAAAAAGGTTAGAGCCTAATTTAATAGAAAATTTAATTCTTAGTTGCATTTAATAAGTTTAAAGTTATATTTGATACGAAATGAAAAATAAAATTTTAAGTATATATAATAATTCCAATAGAATAAAATATAGTACTGACCCGCGGTACGAAAGGAGGCCCAAATGAATATGGGAAAGATGTGATAATCTTACATAGTCATAATCTCATTCGTTTATAAGTAATCGCACAAAAAGTAACTCAGTGCGGAAGAAAAGTACAACAATGAAGCTAAAGGAACTTCGTGGTGTAATAGAGTTGCCAACCAAGCAATAAATATCCGTTAACACCATAATAACCAATGAATCAAATGGGAGCTGTTTATGGAGGTCAGAGCCTTCCTAAAGAAATGATTTACAATATCCATTTGAATAAGGCCGAGAATCGATTGAAGACGATCCCCGTCCAGGACGTCCAACTGAGGCTACTTTGTCAGAAATTATCGAGAATGTCGAAAAATAAGTCCACAGATGAAAAACAGTTTTTTGCATTACTCGGAGTATTAGATCCTGCAAAATATCTCCGCATGTCAAAAACCAGTGCAAAATGGGTATCAAGATTGCTCTCACCGCCTCCAATGCCACAATGAATCGAAGTGTCTCGGCACTTTGTGAAGCTGTGTATCAATGATTAAACATGGGTTCATTACTTCTAGCCTGAGTCCAAAAAAAGAGTCAATGCAATGACAAGAAAAGGATAAAACACTCCAAAAAATGTATGTTGCTATAATTGGCCGAAAATCTATGATTTTTTTAGATTATGAGTGAGATTAAATTATGAATTTTAGAAATAGATATAAAACAATACTACGCTTCAATAAAAGAGAGGCTAAAAGAAGCTATTAGATCTAGACAATACATTATAAGGACAGAAGTAGATGCTCACGGATACTTTCATTTATCATCGATTAAGAATCAAAATGCAGGTGCGTTCTTCTCTCTTGGGATTCTACGCTGGTATTCTGTGACTGCGTGGTCCTTTCTCGGTCGAACCAACCCACTAGTGCTAAAACTATAATATAACTACAGCACGGCCTACGACAAAAATATTAAAAAAGAAAACCAAATTGGTGTTTTTTGCTTTCGCCGTGTAGTGGCGTCGTTAGTGAATCCACTACCCTATATCATCCCGTGTGTGTATAAGAGGCGATACAAGGAGATACACACAGAGATTTTCCTGATAACAAAAACACTCCCAATGAGACAATCAATGGGATAGGCCAAGAACCGACGACCGATGGAGAAGTCGATGAAGGCAGGTGGCTCAGTACCGTACTTCGTGCCATTCCTTGAGACGCCTATATTCAGCGGCCTTGTGGTCCAGATTAAAAGGCCACATAGATATTTCGTTTTATTTTTGATTAGGTTCCTGAACTGTTCAAGCTTTATCGTTATCGTTGACTTCAGTGGAAAAAGCGCCTTTAAAAGTAAAAGTATTCTACGTAAAAAACAATCATATTTGTACAGCGTCGACAACACAATTGTTTATTAAAATGATTTATATCGAGTTTCCAACTTTGATTGAAATCGCGTTATTCGCGTTTTTGATTAAAGTTATGTCATATGTATACTCTGATTTTGTAAACATACAAATATGGCGTTGCTTTTACTTGGTTAAACATTGAAAGAAACGCGAGACCGGTAGTGTTTGTCTAACAACTTACAAAATAATGGAGACGTCAATTTACATTGGCATGCAATAAGATGAAAGTTCTTGTATGTGTAATTCAATGAGAATGTACATTAAGGGCGCATTTAAATTTTAAGAAACCGAAGTACTGATTAATGGTTATTTAAAATATATAACGCTTTTTTGAAATGTTCATACTATGCTTCAGATAGCTTTTTGTCTTCTTCTACATCATCAGTCCGTAAAAGTCTACAGTGGAAGTAGTTGTACACTCCTGGTGTAGGAGGATTTTTACACGTGGTAGAGCCATGCTGCAGCTATATTAGTAGTATAGTTGTAGCACGAATGGGTCGGCTCGACCGGGGAAGGACCACGCTCTCACAGAATACCAGCGTAAAATAGCAGCTTAACACTGCTGTGTTTCGTATGGTGAGTGTAGAGAACCGGAGACCATTTTTACTGGAAAAGAGGCATTCCATCTTAGTCCTCACGGGTGACAACGCATCTGCATTTTGATTCGTAAACGAGGATAAATGTAGATGTCTATGGGCCACAGCAACCACTTACCATCAGGTGGACTGTGTGCTCGTTTGTCACCCTATCCTATAAAAAAAATTTTTTTCCTAAATCGTCATGCTAGAATTCGCAAGCAAATTGATACAGTACCAGATGTCTCTAACATTTGATGTTGATGGCTGTTGCCGGTTTGGGTATTTTGCATCTGACGTGAGATAGTTATATGGCGAGCTTTTGGAAGCCATAAGATATTTCTAGCAATTACCATAGTCGCGTTTTACGACACCAACGGAACGACATGGACTGATGGATTCTCATACGCCATCACACATGTCTTATTATTACGAGTATAGTCGTTTAACACACGACACAATTTCAATAAAATATAAAAGGAAAAAAATTAGGACCATTAATGATAATGATATTCTACTGGTTCCATGGTACATTCTACCAGTAGAAAATCACCATGAATAATTTTGGAACAGCCAAACGTTTTTTTTTGTAGAATTAGGGTGACAAACAAGCACACAGTCCACCTGATGGTAAGTGGTTGCTGTGGCCCATAGACATCTATATCTATCCTCGATTACGAGTCAAAATGCAGATGCGTTGTCACCCGTGAGGACTAAGATGGAATACCTACTGCCTTTTTCAGTAAAAAGGGTCTCCGGTTCTCTATACTCACTATACGAAACACAGCAGCGTTATGCTGCTATTTTACGCTGGTATTCTGTGAGAGCGTGGTACTTCCCCTGTCGAGCCACCTATTCGTGCTACAACTATAACAGTAATATAGCTGCAGCATGGCTCTACCACGTTTAACAACCAGTTGTCAGGTAAGTCACTCATGTTCCAACTCACTCAATAACGCGGATACCTGCATCAAACTATGTCAAGCTGAAAAAGTAAAATATCTAGGAGTAATAATTGATAGCACTCTACGTTTTCATGAACACATTAATACCCTTAATAGCAGGTTGCGTAAACTTATATATGTTTTTAAAACTCTGAGAGATGTGGCTGACGAGAAACTAAAGAAATCCGTCTACTTCGCCTTGGCCCAATCTCTGTTAACATATGGTATTACCTCCTGGGGCGGTGCTCCAAAAACTAAAATGCTTCAATTGGAGAGAACGCAGAGAGCCATCTTAAAGGTCTCTTTTTCACTGCCGTATCGCTATCCTACAGAGCTCCTATATAAAGAGTTGAAAATTTTAACTGTGCGGCAACTGTTTATACAAAGTACCTTACTAAAACAACATGCTTTATTAAAATACAACCCCTCACTCTCCCGAGATAAAAGGCGTTTTAACCCCGTGGACCGCTATCATATAACTCTATCCACCAAATTATCTAAACGTTTCTTTTGTCACCTTGGAGGTTTCTTATACAATAAAATCAATAAAATTATCCCTATATTTAACCTTAACAAAACTATATGCAAAAAGAAAATAACTATCTGGCTCCAAGAACTAAATTATTATGACACTGAACAACTACTTACTAATTCTATCTAATTACTAATCTAATAAAAGTTAATTACTAACCCAGTCACAAACTAACAAACAAAAGCATGCACACACACACACACACACACACACACACACACACACACACACACACACACACACACACACACACACATACACACACACATCCACACCCCCCCCCCCCCCCCCCCCCCCCACACACACACACACACACTAATACTAGTTAATATATGTAGTTATAAATATGGTACATGTACGAGTGCATAATAAAAGTATTGTAATTAGAACCATAGGGCGGAGACCTGGCGTCCTGAAATACAGGCGTAAAGCCTAGCTTAGGCACCAGTCTCCCACAGTATATTATTGAGGCTATACTATAATATTATGTACAATAATTCTGTATTGTGGTGAGAAAATAAAAAATTATTATTATTATTATTATTATTATTATTCAGGAAATAACCATTTGTCTTAAATTAATTTAAAAGATAAGATCCGTAGCAGGCTTAGATACATTATCGGAGATACCTTTAAATTAGGAAAAGAATAACACTTGCTTAGGATGGAACGTGCAATTTTGCAGTAAGGTACTTGTAACACTAGGCCACGCGGTCGTCATGCTCTAATAAGTACGAAAATATACAATATTTTGCGCTTAGATTGAAATGTAGCTAGGTGACATTGGGAAAGGCAAGGAAGTCGTTTTTGTCATCAAAAAGATGACTTCAGTTGCATAAATAATAAACTATTTAAAAAATTACACGTTTCATTAATATCAGATTTTTTATTTATGTAATGAAATTTGTAAAAGTAATATAATTGGTAAATTTAATTAATATTCCTCGCAAAATACTGCGCACGCAGCCATTAAGCTACAGCTGTCAGGAAAATTCGGATGTAAAATTTTATGCATCATAAAAATTAAAACGCGTCCACGGAGATGGTAACTGGATAACATTTTGCTACATATTAAAATTTGTAAGTAATAGTGAATGCAAAAATATAATAAATCAAACCTGTTGAGCGGTTGCAAAAAATAATTATTAATGGAAATGGAGAATCAATATTTGAATCATTGCTATTTTTAATATTATGAAAGCTTTTCTACGCTAAATACAATGTAATTAAATACTAATTACTGTTTACTGATGATACATCCCTAGAGTTTAAGGTTGTTAGAAAAAAATAAGTGATGCTTAATCTCAAGTATTGCATTGGTTTACAACAAATAATTTGGTTCTTCTATAATAATAATTTGCTTCCAACAAAATAAAATTATTTAAATCTCTTTTCTTGTCTTTACCAAGTTTAACTTGAATTCCTTGAATTCAATAGATTCATATTGAAGCTTTGTCAAGGAGATAGCTTAGCTTAAAAAAGTTGCTAATAATTAAAAAATTCTATAAGAGTAAAAATCAAAACACGCGAGCAAACTAGCTTTCGTCGTATGAGTAAAGTGGTTATTGCAATTTTTAATTCAAATAAAACATAGTGAATCCTGCATGTCTGAACAATATTGGAGCAGCGTGGCGGTAAGATTAAGAAAGACTTTACTCCAAAGCCCTCTTAGATATAAGAGAAGGCTTCTCGTACACGGCCGTAGCGCGTATTTAGGATATAATTAAAACTTTACTAATTTAATGAAATATATTGCATTGTTTCTTTTTTTTTTTTGGATTAAATTCTATTTGTAAAGAAAAAATTCACGTAGGTTTAGGGAATTTTGATAAGTTTTTCTATTAAATTTATGCTAAATGAAACTGTTATAAAAAGTAAAAAAGCAACAGTATGGTTTGTTCCGTATTTACCATACAAAGCATTGTTTGATGAACACGATTGAAAGGCTGGGGGAGTTAAGGTTAACATCCGTTCCACTCAAGTCTCGAATAAAATAGTTCGAAAGAATCAAATGATATGTGCAATTATTTTAATGAACTGTTATTGTTCTTTTCGCAAGTTACGCGTTTGCATTGCTGTTGAAATAAATTTCATGATCTATTTATTGTTGATTCTTTGCAATTTTTTCATTACGCCAATCTTTCCCTTCGGTATCCTTCACAATTGTAATTGAAAAAAATCGATACGATATTTTAATGCGATAGGACAGAATTGATTTAGGAGAAGAACTTCAAATCCGTCGCATGATTTAATACAAACAAATATACAAAGAAGTAAGAAAATAAATAAAAGGTCAGGATAAATTAAGCCCTTACACAAGCTCGGAGGTTGATATTTTCACTGAAACACTAACAAATAGTTCAGAATGTTATTCGAAATTGCAATCGCACAGTGTATTTCCTCATTCAGATTGCTTATATGCGAAATTGCATTTCGATATACACATATATTTAACGGAAACGAGAGGAACAAATTGTAAATTTCTGTCTAACCTCTAGTTACTTAATCACAAATATTTCAGAAAAATTGCTATTTAAGTAAAAAGAAGCAAGTTTAAAATTATATATTTGTCAAATCCACAGAATCAAAAATTTCTTTTGCGCAATGATTCTTCTAGTGTAACAATCTTTCATTTGTATTTGTAGTTTTGGTGGTGGATTGATGCTAAAAAGATTATAATTTAATAATTTAAGGTTACGTTCAGAACCCAAAAACTTTGATTACAGCTATATTATATTAAAAAAAAAACATTCGTGAGTGTCGTGGAACACTCGGTTGGTACGAAGTTCCTTTCGTAGTATATGATTATTGATAAACATATTATTATATTATTGATTAAAAATACGATTAAATGAATTACTAGCGTCTATTAAAATGAAGCTTCATTTAAAATAAAATTTATTTCATTGCAAAATAAGAAAAAGTGCGAGGGAGATGGATATTATTACATCACGCTTCCTTATAGCCGCCAAGGTCGTCTACACTACGTCAGCAGGGGTGGTGACGGAAAAATATTACGCTTTTTCTCGCCTAACCCCCATCCGAAATTCGAATCGTCCGATGAGGAACTTCGTTCCAAAAATCAATTGCTGGTCGTTGGTCTCGCTAAAACCCGAAAACAGCTCGAGCTATTTTGATGAAATTTTTTGTTTGTGTTTGAGTGGGTCCCTAGATGGTTTAGAATTACATTTGGACTCGGTAGGTGGCGCTGTCGAAAACGTACCGGATCGCTGGTAATGTATAAATATTCTTTCTATAAACCTCTTTTTCTTTGAAAAAGAAAAACATTTAATTATAGTATAATTTGCAAACCATCTGGCTTGAAAAGTATAATATAATTAAATGTTTTTTACAAATAATAGTTTTAAGCTTACCTGTGACAGTGTGGGCGGTGTAAGTAGCAGCAGAAGCGCGGCGACAAACATTGTCGCCCCACGCCTTATCAACATCGTAAACCTGGAAAAAACATAATTTTATATTTATTAGCTCTGCGGAAAATTGTAGTAAATAGCAATATTTTTCGAACTCACAGTTCGTGAATCTTTAAAATTTACTGAACGCACAAAAGTGTGAAATAAAATGTTTTACAAAGCATAAAGTAATGCACGTATGTGTGTTTTTTTATAAATTCGTAGACGAATAATTAAATACGTGGTAGAGCCACGCTCCAGTTTTATTATGGTTGTAGCACGAATGCGTTAGCTCTAAAGAGGAAGGACCACACTCTCACAGAATACCAGCGTAAAATAGCAACTCATAGCTGCTGTGTTGTGTTCATTCCGTCTTAGTTCTCAGGAGTAACAAATAATCAGCCTTTTGATTCTTTGTTACTCCTAGGATAGATGTAAATGTCTATGGACCTCATCACCTACTTATTATTTAGTGCAACGCGTGCGCCTTTATCTTCCTTATTCTATAAAAAAACTAGGAAAATCTAAAGGCAATAGTATACAATAAAATAGAATTTTTTTTATGCAATATTGATTACAAGTAATTCTTATCGAAAGTCGTTTTTTAATTTGCCACTAGTTCTGAAAAAACCTTTGTCCTGGGAAGAACCAGCAAGAAACCCAGCGGGACTTTTTTTAAATAAAATTACAAAAGTAAAAATTAGGTTGAAATTACTAACTATTTACAAAATTTATTTTAGAAACAGCTTAGAAGCGGCCACCTCATTCACAGGGGTTATTATCAACCGAATTTTTCTCATGATTAGAGTAAAGATCTGGAAAACCCTTTTACTGTTATCGAATCGGTCATTTTTTTTAAATACTAGCAATGCTTTTAACAATACTTATTTTCCCTTTAACAACGCCTGGTAAGCTTAAAATTCTGGTGTTGTGAATGGTTCACGACAGTAGTCGAATGGCGAATCCGAACCAACGACCTTTTGAGTTCGCGGTCCGCACTCAAAACGTCATGGGTTCGTGCCGTTCACTGCCATTAGACTACTATCGCTTTTTTATTTTAGTTCCCAGGGGTGGTAACGCATTTACCATTTCATTCTGAATCAAGGATTGATGTAGGTGTCTATGTCTATGGGCCACAGCATCCTCTTACCAACAGGTGGGTTATGGGTTCTTTTGTCAGCCTTTCTCTTGAAAAAACAACAATAATATATGAATTTGCGGGCGCTCATTTTATTCAAGCGTTGATCGTTTATTTGATAGATGTTTTCTGCAAATCCATTGTGATTGGCGACAAGCAATCTAACTCATTTAGACGCTTTAGTATTTAAAATAACATCTAAAATAAAAAAATAGAGAAAAAAATATTTTTCGAAAAGCCAGCCGCAATTTTTTTAAATTACATTATTGCTTATTATGTACTAAATGTCAGAAGGAGACAATTTGCTAATATTTTTTTGCAATATCTTTTGAAAAAAATATTTTTCGAAAAGCCAGCCGCAATTTTTTTTAAATTACAATATTGCTTATAATGTATTTTTTTGTTATTAAAAACAAAATTCGTTTCAAAACAATTACTTTAAAGTTAAAAGAAAAATGCAAAGAATTTATGTTATGTTGCTTAAAATAAAATTCAAGTCACGAATTAGTAATTTAAACGTTTTTACAGCTAAGGATAGTAAATGTTAGCCCTTGCTATTCTAACTATTTAATAGTCACGTACGGTCGTAATTGGTGTTGAGAGAAGACAAAATTCATTTAGTGAGTATTACCACCGAACTCGGTCGAGGGAATGGAAAATGCCGAAAACATTGTGTTGGTTGGCACCGTGTCGTGATTAAGGTTACAAAGTAAAGTTTTTGCGTTAAATTTGCTCTTTTGTAGATTTAACAAATTGCATTTATTTTGGTATTTATGTAAAATGTGTATTGACAGATTTTATTATATTTTTACCGCCTTTGAAACGTGAACTGGATAATGGTGAAACAATTTTACTATTTTCAACTGCCGCTACTAATGCTAGTAATAATATAAATATATAAATGGTTTCTTATATTTACGCGAACACTACTTATTTTAGAGATTTTATAAAGTTTAATTTTAAGTTATCCTTAATCCCGACGTTTAAAGTGCTTTGGCGCACACATGGTCACGATGGAGGCTGGTAATAACGGGGTCCCAAACACCATCTATATTGAAATTAATATGTTCTTATTAAAATTTCAATAGACACATGTGTTATCCTTGAAAGGAATCCTCCGTCAATCATATTCTGTCACAAGGATTTATAGTCTATTAAATCTTCGTCATTTAACCAGCTCCCCCTCCCTCTCCGCGTGCTATAAAACACTCGAAACGTCCTATTTAATTTAACGAAATTTAATTCTATTTTATAATTACGTAAATTCAATAAACTCAATTAACCTAATTTCTTAAGGATTCGGGTAATAAACGAGCACACAGTCCACTAATGGTAAGTGGATGCTGTGGCCCATACACAGTAATATATTATATCCTCAATTGAGAAACAAAATGTAGATGCGTTGTCTCCCCTGAGCACTAAGATAAAATGCCTCGTTACTAGTAAAAAGGGTCACCGATTCTCTACACTAATTACAATGTATCTCTACAAAATAACATCGGACATATATAATTGGTACGTAAATGTCCTTGCGAAACACAGCAGTATTAACACTTTCACTGTCCGATTTTCAGACATAATAGTAAGACAATAACAATGACCTTTATGTAGTGCATGGGACAGCAAAAGGGTTAAGCTGCTATTTTCCGTTGGTATTCCGTGAGATTGTGGTGTGAACGTTAAGTCAACCTGTTCGTGCTGCAACGTAGCTCTACCATATTATACTTTGCGATGAATCACTTATGCAGAGGTTTCAAAAATGCAGTAGTAAATTTGTGAATAACATAATCAGTTTGATCTATGTACATCAGTTAAAATGTAATCTTGTATTATTTAATGGCACAACTATGTCTGAGAACTCAACCGTAAGTAATGAACGTTATTGTACGTCCGATGTAACCTTTTCAATGTGATGATATCATACGGTCAAGCCGGTTTTGATCGTTAAGTTTTAAATTCATACTGATAATAATATAATGACGCATACGTATAGGAATTCCAAGCCTGCAGGTCATGTCTATGTTGTAACGATTTGGTTTGTTAATTGTCATAGGTAATATAAATAATATACGTATGTACAAAGTTTAGTTACCGAGTTTATGGAATAAACGAGAAACACCTTGCATTGTGGGACATTTCTAGTCAGTTGGACGTTTCCGATTCTAAGTTTAGATTACGTAGTAATTGTTAGTAAATCTGTGGCTTAGAAAGCAATTTCGATAGATGTTGAAAACACGCATCAATACGCATACTTAACTATTTTACAACCGGTCGATATAGCAATTCTAGTTGATGATATTTTGTAAGACGGGAAATGATTAATACGTCGAGTAATATTTAACGCAAGGACGTTACAAAAGCGGCAAATACCGATTAGTAATCGATGTAACAGGAACGACGTATTATCGATATTAACAACTAGAGAATGCCGAATTTAATGATACGAAAAACATTTCTATCGGAAAAAGTTTATACGTGGTAGAGCCATGCTGCAGTTATATTACTGGTATCGTTGTAGCATGAATGGGTCGGCTCGACCGGGGAAGGACCACGCTCTCACAGATTACCAGCGAAAATAGTAGCTTCACACTGCTGTGTTTCGTATGGTGAGTGTCTCTACACTCACCATATAACTACCTCGTTTCCAGTAAAAAGGGTCTCCGGTTACAGAACCGGAGACCCTTTTTACTGGAAACGAGGCATTCCATTTCAGTCCTCACGGGTGACAACGCATCTGCATTTTGATTCGTAATCGAGGAGAGATGTAGATGTCTATGGGCCACAGCAGCCACTTACAATCAGGTGGACTGTGTGCTCGTCTGATATCCTTATCCTATAAAAAAAATACACGCCAAAAAGGCCCTAACGCTTGACCGGTTTCCTCTCCGAAAGAAAATGCCTGATGATGTGTTCTAATGCGAATTGATATATCAGATCATTATCATCATCATTACAGCACTTCACAAGTCCACTGCTGAACATAGGCCTCTCTCAAGGAATGACACAAAGCACGGTCCTGAGCCACCTGCATCCATTGACTTCCTGCATGTCTTACCAGGTCGTCACTCCATCTAATGGGGGGACGCCCTACACTTCGTTGGCCAGTACGAGGCTGCCACTCGAGAACCCTTTTCCCCCATCGGTTGTCGGTTCTTCGAGCTATATGTCCGGCCCATTGCTACTTCAGTTTACTAAACAGTTGTGTCAGATACTAGTACGCTTTGATGCTGTATGTACAGTGCTCTTATTGTATTAAATATTTTGAAGAAAAAAGTCCCGCTGGGTTTTTTGCTGATTCTTCCCAGGACAGGGGTTTTCCAAACCAGTGGTAAAAGTAAAAAAAAATACTTTTCTTCTGAGAGGATTTTAGGGCAATGAAATGCCTGCCGTACTGCCCCAATGCGTGTTGACTTCAGATGTCCTCGAAATATTTTTTTAATTTCTAAGAAATGCAGGTTTTGCCATATGTAGAATTGGTGGTAAATATGAGAAATCATTAAATGCCGGTTTTACTCATGATGTTTTCCTTCACCACCGAGCGCGTGGTAAGGGATCGAACTAGGGCTGTTCAGGTAAAATTTTTGTTGCAAACCCTTTCATGTAAAAAACGAAGTGAAAGGATTTGCCATAATTGCGACACTTGACTGGTGGAACGAACGATCACCAGATCGTAGTTTGTACTTTTGACGCTGTTTCCCGCTGTCGGCTTACTTACTTTACATCAGGTATTGTTGCGCGCCACTATTAATGTCTTGTACATGGCAACACTAGTTACCAATAGTGCCCTCTAGTATCGAGTAGCAGAACAGGAAAGTCAAGATCCTTCTAGAAATATCAGGACCGATAAGTACTCGAACAATCTAGGTGTTTCTATAGTAGAAGGTTCTGGAAACTACCTGAG